GTGCCCTAATTGCCCAACCCCTTGAAATCACCTATTGATATGGAGGTACACTAAGGTGAGGTGAGAGATTCTGGAAATGTTTCAACTTTACCCACAGCATAATATATATAAAGAAGGTGTTTCAGTTACCTATTTTATAATATAAAACAACAGCTATTAATTTTTGTGTTATGGATCACTTGAGCAAGTACTGCTGATCTGAGTCAAGCTTGGCTAATGTCAGTTGGACTCATCATATTTCAGTGGTTAGCTATATGTGTGGCTGGAGTCTGACTCTTCCAGGAATGCCTCTGATGCATAACTGGCAGTTGGCTGTTGGCCTGTTGGGTTAACAGGAGTGATCAGACAATGTGTTTCTTGGAATCCAACAGGTTATCCAAAACCTTTCACATCGTAGCAGCAAGTCTCCAACAAAAAAATAGGAAGCATGCCAAGCTTTTTGAGGCTTATGTTTGGAAGTGGTACAACACTTCTACTACCAGCAGCTGGCAAGAGGAAATCACAAGGCCACTATAGAAGTTTGAAAAGAGGAAATAAATTCAAGTGAAATTGTTAAAGATACAGATATAGAGTAGGCTTAGAAATCAGGTATGTTTTTGTAATCAATTTATAAAAAGAAGAAATAAAATGATTATTAGTAATTGATAGAAGCATTTACAAAACTATAAAACAAAACTGTTAATATATAATATAGAGATTTATATTGTGTAGGAAACAGGTGTAAATGATTATAATGTGGTATACATTTACTAAATGCAATCTGAAGTCCATAGTAAATACATACATACATACTACATACATGTTAGTCTTTTTAATTAAACATATTTTGGAGTGAGAAAAGTTACAGAATTAATACAGATTTTTTTTAAATACCCATCACCAAGTTTTCCATTTTATTAGCATCTTACATTACTATGGTATATTTTTCAAAATTTAAGAAACTGACATTGGTTTATTATTTTTAACGAGACTACCAATATTATTAAGATTTTAATAATTTTAATGTCTTATTTCTATTCTAGGACCCCACCCAAGATACCACATTGCATTTCGTTGTCAGGTTACCCCTCTGGTCTGTGATCTTTTCCCCTTCTTATTTTTCATGATCTTTATAATCTTGATGAATGTGGAACCACAAGTATACATGTTGTCATAATCTAGACCTGTCTTTTTTCTCTTTTCATGTTATTAGACAGGAATTACAAATTTTTGGAAAAATAGTAAAACAGATTAAGGACTCTGCTTACAGTTGTCTGGGGAGGGTACATGGTATGTATGTGACATATTGGTAATGTTAACCATCATTAATTGTTGAACTGTTTACCAGATTTCTCCAGTGAAGCTATTATATTAGAAATAAAACAGAATACATATCTTCCTAATATATAATTGCCTAAAACCATACTAATATAGATAAAATGTAAAATAAATTGATATTCAGATATATTTAAATTCACATAAAACATATAAAAAATGTATAAGTTCTTCAAACAAATGTAATATACTTTATCATATCTTTATAGTAGATACTTTACTACAAAATAATGATTCTCTAATTGTTTTCAAAACAGATTACTTAATTTTATATTATGTTCATTTGAATTATCAGAGAGATACTTTAAATTTATTGAAACATCTGCAAGCAAATCCAAATATTTGTATCTAAATCTAATCTATAGCTATATCTATCTACCTATGAACAAATGAAACAATGTACCTAATTTTCAAAAAATTAAATCCTTTGAATTTTACTTATATGTACTTTTAAGATAAAAACTGCTTCAGAAAACAGCTGAGTGGTAAGATCATAGGCCAAATTAAATTGAATTGAAGATTTCAGTGAAGGATAGGAAATAGAGCTAGTTTATTTAGTTTACCTGATGAGGAGACAGTTAAACTATGAATTATAGGAAAAAATTGAGACAGAAGAATTGAGTTTTATCTGATGTAGAATTGCTTAATCTTTGAAATTGTGTGGAAAATAATATATTGAAATGCAGATGTTGAAGATCTGGTAGAGAGAGCGAATTTGATATTATATATGGAAAGGACAACCAATATTAAATCTTTCTGGGAAAATGGGGAGTAGTGGAAACAGGAGGAGATTCAGATAGGAAGTATCTCATCTAGTTAAACAAAAAAAGAGTGGGAGGGTTTTTATTGTTTGGTTATGGGAAGTTGAATTAAAACTTTTTTCTGTGAGAAGTAGGAGTTATCAACTGAGATTTTTTTTTTTTTTGTAGCATAACGAACAAGTTCTTACATGGTGAACAAATTCTTACATAGTGAATAAGTTCTTACATGGTGAACAGTGCAAGGGCAGTCATCACAGAAACTTTCAGTTTTGATCATGCATTATGAACTATAAACAATCAGGTCAAATATGAATATTCATTTGATTTTTATACTTGATTTATATGTGGATCCCATATTTCTCCCGTTATTATTATTATTATTATTATTATTATTTTTTTTTTTAATAAAATGCTGAAGTGGTAGGTAGATGCAAGATAAAGGTAGAAAACATAGTTTAGTGTTGTAAGAGAGCAAATGTAGATGATCAGGTGTGTGCCTGTAGACTATGTGTTAATCCAAGCTAGACAAGGGCAATAAAACATCCACGGATGCAGAAGATTTCTCTCAAAAAAGGGGGTGTGTGAGGTTCTAAGCTTCACCACTGTTGATCCCCAATTTCTTACCTGATGGCCCCCCTGCGACTGTGCCTGTCTTAGGTTGTTCCTCCCTTGAGGAATCTTACCCGTCTCTGGCTAACCAGTCATCTTCCGGGGCCATACAGGGAAATGTAAAGTTGGTAAGTGAGAGAGAGGCCATATTGTTTGAAAAGGTTAGCTTTTACTTCTTTGCAGATTTTTGCCCTGTGGCTTTTATGCCCAGCATTTGTCTTGAGGTATCTTTACCACTTGAAGGAATTATGATACTCGGTATCAACTGAGATTTTTGGTACTGTTATTTAATGTGTAAACGTTCATAGTGTTTTACAGCTATCAATATAAAATGCATACATTTTAAAAATAAATGTGTCTTCAACATCATTAATGTTCTTGCTATTATATTCTATTTCATAGAAAAATATAAGCCACTATTTCTTGTACCACACATTTTCTCTGTATTAATTTACTTTTTATGAAATTCACTTTTGATTTATTTCTTTTTAAATGAGTACAGTTTTGTTTATCAGTACAAAAAATACTGTTTTTGTATTGACAAAGAATTTTTATCCAAACTTTGAATTTTTATTCAAATATTGCACTATAGTTTTAAAACATCCAGTATTATAAATGTGATTATCATTATATTACATGTGTCACATATACTATCTATATCCAAACACCACAGGAAACTTTAAAGTTCAGATATTTTGCCAAATAAATAATTATTGTATTTTTATATTTACTACAGGTCATGTTATTTAAATGGTCACCTGGTGGTAATTAAAGTACTTTAATATAATATTTTTTAAATTACTCTCTTTTTAACTATATGGCACTCCAAACCACTGAGTATTTTTCTAAATTAATATAATTTTTCAATATTTTATTATTATTAATTTTTATTACATTTTTATTTATTTTTTTAGTTTGAATTAAATGAACAATTTTATGCATGTATTTTATAAAATAAGCATACATGTCCTAGTGAGCAAAATTGCTAGAATCTTTTGGTATTTTATTGAGCTAATTCACAGGCAGTCTTAACTGAACACTGAATAAATAAGGCACCTAAAAGAATATCTACAGGAAGTGATATTTAGAGTTCACATTAAATAAGTCATATTACTCAGAGAGGTAAAAATTGTAAGTGTAATGACCCTAGTAAGTTAGTGATGAAAAAAAGTAAAAGAAACTAATGGATTAAAAAAATATTATAGATCACGATGTGTTATTTCCAGACTATTAAACGTGACCATGGTGAGCAATTGCAGGTGCTTAAAATCTTCATGACTTCATAAAGCATTAATTAAACATTGAATGTCAGAAGAAAATCACTAACATTTTTTCCTCAAAGGAAGGTGCATGACCATCTTCTGAATCCCCCTTGGGAGACTGCTAAATTTGTTAATTCATGTCCATTATCTAAGGTTTAATGAGTTGGAATGCTAAATAGAGGTGTCAGAAAATTTGACTATATAACTAATACCCCAGATGACTCCACGCACATTACTCTATGAGCCACTCTGCATTAGAGAAGAGAGACTGCAAGAAAAGTCTTCATATCCATTTTGATGGTTAATTTTATGTGTTGAATTTTTGCTAGGCCATGGTGCCCAGATACCTTATTCTGGATGTTTCTTTGGATGTGTTTTTGGTTGAGATTATCATTGAAACTACGTTTTGAGAAAGCAGATTGTCCACCATGATGTGAGTGGGCCTTAATCAATTCAGGGCCCAAATAAAACAAAAGATTGACATCCTTTGAACAAGAAAGAAATCTGCCAGCAGATGGTATTCAGCCTTGAACTGTAACATCAGCTCTTCCCTGATTCCCCAGCCTGCTGGCCCACCCTGCAGATTTTGAATTTGCCAGCCTCCATAATCACAGGAACTAGTTCCTTAAAATAAATCTCTCCCTCTCTCTGTAATACATATATATATAAACTCTTGAGTTATGTGTATATATATATATCCTATTGGTTTTCTTTCTCTGGAGAACTCTAATACACCCATGATGTACCAGTTGGCCTTCAGACTTTGTATTTACCTCAGATTAATTTATATTCTGTACATAAGAACCCAAAGAATCCTGAGCACAGATCCACCCTCAGTCCAGGAAGAATTGGAAGGTATAGTTACCCCTACCAAGAATCAGCAGATTTCCTGTCCCAATCCCTAATTCTGGCTCCTTCTAGCCTCCTTTTAGCCTCCCTATAAAAGAAAATCCCTTTTATGCCTGATCTTTAAGATGCTTGAGGATCTTTTGGTTGGAACATTCTTCTTGTTAAAATAGTCTTTTCAAATGAAATCTCTCCTTTCTAATTCCAGATTTGGTTTGATTGGCTGCTTCTAGTCCTGTGGAAATGAAGGAGATTGGGTCTCACCTACTGACCATTGACATCTGTAAGTCCTCTGAGCTTCTCTTCTGTTCTATAAATCAGGGATCCATTGGTGAGTTAAATTTTTAAACCAGTGCTATAGATATCTTGTCTTTTGAAACATGGCAAGGAGTTAACTTTGATTCCATCAAAGAGACTTTTTCTTGGCTTTTGTGTGCAGTCTCTCCTGTTTTCTTCAGACCCAGCCTAGGAATTGTATGGGAGAGCATCCTTAGCTCCTTGGCTCCTTGGCCTTGAGAATGTGCAAGGGAATTGACTGAGTGCGATTTTTTTTCCTGGCTCTTCAGGTCTTAGCTTTGATTTATCTATTCACTTCTAAGCCACATTCCCTCTTTTTCTCCCACCGACTATATGCTTTCTAATACAGTATTAATTTTGTTAAATATCTCCAAAAATGACAATTTCTTTAAAGATAATTTAGAATTAAAATGGCTTCTCTGGCATTCTTATGATCTCATCTCTAACCAATAGTGTGCTTATTTCACATAGTATATGGAGGCTGAAAAGTGACTTTCTCAGTCCAAATACCCAGATAATGCAGTAATTTCATACTACTTTATGTGAGCCTACTTAAAGGCTCAAGGATAATATGTCCTCACAACTGCTCACCTACCTGCTCCATCCTAAAAGGCACTCCCAGCTTCCTGTTGGCCCCCTTCCCCCTCAGGTCCTCTAAATCCGTTCCTAAACCTTTGGGCTACTCTTGACTTCCCTACGTCTTTAACACCCCTTGACGTTGTAAGGAAAAGGAAAATTGGGCTAAAGATTCCAACTGTATGACAATCTGGAAAAGGAAAAAACTATGGAGATAGTAAAAAGATCAGTGTATTCTAGGTGTGGGGTGGGGAGATGAATCAGGCAGAGCACAAAATATTTCTCTGACTGTGAAAACACTGTGTGCTATTATAATGGCAGGTGCATGTTATTGTACATTTATTTAATAGAACCCATGTGATGTACAACACTGAGTAGACTCTCATGGAAACTTTGGGTGATTATGATATATCAGTGGTTCATCAATTTCAACAAATGTCCCACTCTGGTGTGGGATTTGATAATGGCTGAAGCTGTGTATGTGTAGGGACAGAAGGTATGTACGAAATCTCAGTCATCCCCTTAATTTTGCTGTCAACCTCAAACTGCTCTTAAAAAACAAAATCTTAAAAAAATAGCAATCAGAATGTAAAATATCACCTAATATGATACCAAATGGTGAATTGTAGGTGTTCGGGGGAAAGAGAAAGAAAAGAATGCTACTGTTATTGTCTTGTGAGTAATTAGTTCCACATACTGATAAATGATACATCCACCCTTCTATGCTGCACATTTAGAAGTAACCATTAGAAGAGATGCAATGCCTGGTTTTCAAACAAGCAATGGGAATGAGAATCTACAGCCATAGTCAATTGAATAATTAGAGTTTGTTAAGAAATCTCTACGTTGCCTTACAATTTGTTTCAAAAGGAAATAGGAAACTTAAAGAGATTTAAAAGAACAATAAAATACCAGTTTACTCCTGACATATGCATAAATGATCAATCAAATAAGATTTTAGTAAATTTATATTTCTCACATTTATAAATAATTTCAGAGGAACCTAAATACCAACAACAGATACTAGAAATTTCCCAATTCAGTTTATAAACCAGCATCAACCAGGAAATATTATTACAAAAATAGGAAGATACAGGCTGTTTTTGTTTATCAACATTTGAGACTGAATCATATGAAACTGCCAATTTTAGAAATCAAATAATTGAGTGCCAGCAATTTCAAATGTGTCAACTTATATGGATATGAATTTTAAATAAATAAAATGGGATGCACACTAGCAGCATATTTTTAAGGTTATAGAAAAATTCAGTATGTGCCAACTTTAGAAAATATATCAGTACACTTCATTAATATAGTAAAGGTTGAACAAAGCATAGAGCAATCTTTATAGATGCTGATAACAACAGCAAACACTCATATGATGTACCAACAAAAAGTCATTTAGCTAGATAAGGAGAAACTTTATTTTATAAGACTTAAGGAAAATACTCTGACTGTAGAATTGCAAATGTCTCAGAATTAAACAGAGAAGAGATGACTTTTATAGGTAGAGGTAGGAAGGCTAGCAGAAACTGGGGGAAGTATGGTAAGTAGGCTGGGTGTGCAGGTGGCAAACCCAGGGGCTTCAGCTGGAAATGGTTCTACGATCAGCAGATTCTTGAAATAAACTATTAAGGGGCATGTTCTGCACTGAGTGCTTGCATGAATTTAGGGTGAACCAAAGTTTAGGGCCTATGAGGAGAAGAGAATCCTGATGAAAGTTAGTCAAGCCAAATCAGTGGGTATGGAGTGGGCAGTTGTGGGCACTTGCTTGGGTACTTCCTTTGTACTAGACACTGTCTTGTAGTCTTAATAAATATTTATTTAATTAATAAAATTCAAGTTCTTCAGGGAAAAATTTTTTTTGAATCCTATACTGATTCATAAATCTTTTCCAAAAAGTATGTGTCAAAAACAGGTCGTGGGGTTACACTTCACTTCAGAAAATAGGAAGTGTGGTCCTACATAAGAGCTGGTTAGTGTAGCACTGGAAGAACTGTTGAACATCACAATCAATTACCGTTTGTGCATGTTTCTGGTATAAATCCTAGGTGATCTATAAAATGTCCCAATAGATGAGGAGGTGCATCGCATGAGTAAATTGTCCTAATAAATAGGCATGTGAAAAGAATGAAAAACAAAGTCCTATTATAAAAATGACCATGATTACACTACTGCACACAACACATCAAATAATTGTCATTTTTCCAGGACACATAGAAGACAGGGAATATTTGTGATCACACAATGTAGAATATATGGGTGTGCAAGAGGTTTCTCTTTTATATTTTACATATTATTATTTTGATTTTTGCCCTGATCCTCTTAGATTGGTTGATTGATGAAATTTTCATAGATGAAACCAAGTCTATAACTTGATATATATATATATATATTCTTTAAAACATATATATCATCTTTGATCAAAGATATATTACTGATACTCAGGGAATAACATATTTTAATGAAATCGGTTTACAATCCTAGTAATGTATTTATAAGCATTAATATAACAAGGACAATATTTTCTCATAGACTAATATGGATTACCTTAGTGTAGATTTATAGAAGTGGATATGTTGCAGTGGAAGAAAAAACATTGCATATAGAGTATGCATATCTTCTATATGAAGTATCAAGTACACACAGGCAGTGAAACTTTCTGAAATATGTGTGTGGAACTTAATAAGAAAGGAAAAAAATGAAGGGTCATCTTTTCTGCTATTTCTGTTTTAATCAGTTGTAACAATTTAAAAATAGTATACAGCTAATCAGAATACACTTTATATGAGCTTTCACTTATAGTAAAGTAATTTATATTATTTTAAAAATGATTCTCATGAACAAAGAAATTAGAGTGGGGAGAAAACACTCATGGATGTTTTCTCAATTTTGGTTACTCCTGTTCCACCATCTACTGGTAGGTTTTGAGAATGCTAGTCATCATCTCAAAAATCAATTCACTCTTTCTGAAATATATTAAACTGTTTTTATTGACAAAAATTATTTCAAAGTTTATTCTTATTTTAACTTAATCATTAACTACAGAATAAATTCTAAAATGGTGTTGTCTCTGTCCTTTAAATACTACTTGGCTTTGGCAATTGCAACCTTTATTGGAAAAGTAATGATCTTCCAATCTCTCTGAGTTTAGAAATCACGCACATAAAATTCATAATAACTAGTAATTACAATATTTGCTCTGAAATCAGTTCCTTATGAAAAGTCTTCTACGAATATACACACACCCCTACCACATATAATGTGTGTAATATTATATGCCATCATAGATATTATAGTTGCCTATTTCTTCATTCTCTTTCTCTGTCTCTCAATATTGGGAGTTGAGAATTGGTAACTATGTGGAAAAATGGAGATCATACTTTGTTGATGAGTGTATTTGGGGGTTAGGGCTTAAACATATGAATGTTGTGGGGACTATGTTGTGTCCATAACAGTGGAAGTGTGAATAAATACACTCTATAAAAAACAGATTTGCAATATGTACCATTTACTTGGAAACTTTCATCCCTTTATCAAGTCATTTACTTTGGGAAGTCTAATCTAACAAGTGTGAAACACTGAATATGTTTTTGTTTACAAATATGTTCATCACAGTTTCCTTAGAACATGAGAATTAAGCCATGATTCCTAAAGTTTTCCAGATGAGACACACATAGAATATTATGATACTGTCTAATACCCTTGGGAAAAGCAGCCAAGGCTGTCACCAGGAAGAGGTGACTTACTCCCAGAGCCCACCCAGAAGACCAAGCCCTGAGGGGATCTGGAACTTGGCTCCCAGGGACACATTTGTGGTGGCTCTTGAACTGGGCACTGACAGGCTCTGACATAAAGAGACAGAATATAGGAATAGTTATTGTAGAGAAAGTGATATATCGCATTTATGTGAAAAAACAATGTAGAGAAAAAATAATGAAAGATGAAAATGTGCTGCTATTTTTATTACTCAAAAAATTATTTTCATCTATTCAATGAAAAATCATGCTTTAGTAAAGTTTATTATAGAAAAAAACATGTGCTGTAATGTGAAATTTTAACATTTTATCCCATAGAGTCAACATTTACTCCAATGAAACATACCATAATACTGAGCATTTGCTCCTGGGAGTAAGAAATAGATAATTTTGTTCTTATTACTTATTTATTCATTGTTTCTCGTCTCCACCAAAATAACCAGGTATTTACTAAGAAATGAACCTAAATTTTAATGTGAATTTTGCACATTATCTTTGCTATGGACTGAATTGTGTTCCCCCAAAATTTGTATGTGGAGGGCCTAACACTCCATGACCATATTGGAGAGAAGACCACTGAGGTGATGATCAAGGGTAGTTGAGGTCATAAGGGCAGAGCCTGATCTGACAGAATGGGTGCTCTTACAGGAAGAGGAAGAGACACCGGAGCTCTGTCTGTCACGTGAGGGCACGGTGAAGA